AAAGTCAGCAGACGCTCAGAAGCCTGCAAACAATTCCTCATTCTCATTCATCATTTCACCTAGTGCCTCTCTACCCATGATGAGTTCTCTTCCTGTATTGCCCGCTCCCAGTTTGGCGTTCATGTCACCCGTCAGAATTTTGATCCTGGAGGGGACTGGTTCCCACTGCATGAAAGCCTTCGATACTCTTGGGGACATCGTGACAACCACTTTCTCCGTGTGTTCGTGGCTGTCGTTAGGGTGACAATATCGGAGTAGATCATCGACTCTCCAGACGACGGTTTGGAGGACCCGCTTCCATCCCATCTGCTTTCACTGATTCCAACCACTTCTATGCCATATCTCTTCATCTTCTTTGCATTCCGGGAGCCCTCGCTAGGTTCAAACATTGTTCGGACATTTCATGTCCCTATCCTTGCTTTCGCTTAAACCGAGAGCAGAGAAGATACACCGGCCAATTGGCTTCCCGAAGGTTTTCACCAACCGGTGTCACTCTGTCTTCCCGATTCCAGCAAGGGATAAGTTTAGTTTTGCATTATATAACTTTTGTGCCCTAAAGTTCCCTCCGCGATTTTATTGCTCCTCCGAGGTAGGGTTGCTGCCCTTATACTCAGCCTTCCGTCTTTATCCCAGCTTAGGACCGGCCAGTGAACTCCCTAACTAGGCAACGTCCCAAACTATAACCGGTAAGACTTATTTTGTACAAGCACCTTTCCCTTCTCTTTTCTTATTTCCTATCGACCCTATTCCTCGCACCACTCTTTGAGTGACGTTTGGCATTTATGAGCACTCGTAAAAACGGGAATAGCAAACAGTTAATTCATTCCATCAGCAGCCGAACTGTTCCCTCAAAAAACAGCCTATAATTTGCGAAGGAAAACCTTCAAGTAGACAGTCATTACTTTCAAAGCTGTGCGCAGGTTGAGCAAGAAGACTTCCAGATCACCGAAGGAGTGCTTCAGCAAAAGGAACACCAGACCCCAAGACCCAGGAGCGAGGGCTCAATCTACAAGCTTCCTCTGTAAACACTATCGATGTTTTATTTTGTTGGTTGCCATCTTTATCTTAACGACTTGCTTTGCCTCGTATTCATTCCTCCCCGAAATAACAATATACACGCCTCTCCAGCCGGGTCTTTCCTGTCTGGAAGTAACGGCTTGCAAAAAGCGATCGTCCACGCAACGTAAAATCCTCATCAGACAATACCACCACTTTCCGAACGACAAAACTGTGTAGTGGGTCTAACCATAGCGATCAACTGACTTAACACAGGTTGCTGCATCTGCGGCACTATCCATTTAACTCAACCATACACCTTAGACTTTTGGGCTAGCTTTGGCACCCATCTAAGTTGCACAACTAGACAGTAGTAGGCAGGGTTGGCAACTCTAACTACCATAGTTTTTTTACATTATACCGGACCTAAGGACTTTTATCTTGCTTTCCCCCCTAACCAAACACCTAGATGGGTAATAAAAGCGCCTTGGCCAATCTGGTCTCAGACATACCTCAGGTAGAGCCTCATCTCAATAATTAACCTCCCGTCCGTGAAAGCAACTAGGTCGGAAGTTGGAGGCTTAAAACAGCCGCAAAGGATCATTGTTCGACCTCAGCTTGAAGCTTATGGACAAGGTACTACAAACTCGGGAGGCGGTTAAAGAAAACGTCACCGGCAGCACTCTCTGTTGTGAAAGCAGTCTTTGGACACCTCCGTAGCAGGAAAAGAAGTCCCTGTTAACGCTGAAGTCACTATTACTGTTAATAAACAAGGCGTTCAAAACGGCCCTGACTGTATGATATCCTAAGAAGCCAACGTCAGATAAAACGTGACTGGGCTGGCTCCACTGGAACTGGCCGAACAGTGGCAACTTCCACCATTGCGCACGACCCTTCACGATCCCCTACCACCAAGACGCCTTATTCTGTCAGGAGCGGCTCCAGGTGCCCTTACAGCAATGTGAAGTGACTTGGAGATAAGATAGGGGGAATGACAATCTCTCTATCCCCATCTTGATTCGAAGATTATGGTCTTGGCGGAAACTTGGTTATCGCCTGATAGTGGTGGCATTCAGGCGAGTATAGACGGTGTAGACGGAAAACCACTCAGACTGGATCGCCTTGCTACCGGCGTCCATCTGCTAGCACGAGACGTTCAGGTTCAAATCCCCTTCGACAGCGTAGAGCGTAGTACGGTAGTATTCCATCTGACACTCAGTGAACAACTGTCGTGGGAGGGATCTCGGCAGGCTAAATGGAGATGAACCACTTTCTGTCGACAGCACCATATCCTAAGGGGCGCGGTATCCTGTCAACTGATCAACTTTCAGAACTAGTAAGGGATACCATTAGGGGGGCCGCCCCCGGAAACGTCCAAGTAATCACAGCAACGCCAAAGAAGAAAGCCTCTTGGCTGAAACCAGGCGTCTAACGCCCTTAGAAAGCGAATAGGAAAGGATCGCAAAATGGGAGGTCTCCAGAAAACACCCAGGTCGCAGTGAATGCACGGCTTCAAGGAATCGATGAAAGATCAAAGTGAGGAGAGCAGGATGTCGTTCCAGACAAACCCACCTTAAAAGCCTGGGACGAACCCCTAAAACGTTTATTGATTCATGGTGGAGAGAGAGCTCACCAACAAGAGAGCCTGGGCTATGAAAAGCCTGAACAGCCAGAGCTCACCCGGAGTATAAACCGAACCAACCCAAATTCACAACCGCCCTAACAACCTTCAGCACTACTTAAAGCAGTTGAGTCGCGTGGAACAAAGACAACCCCTGCTGTGATCCTCGAAGGAGTGCAAAGGCTCCACGCAGGGAAATCGCGGAGAAGGGACGACATTCGGTTGCCCATGCTGAAACAACTTACGGGTGCCCTATGGGGTCTACTGTGGAACCTTTACCAACACTTCGTAGAAAATCACATGCCTCCACGAGAGTGGAAACGTTCTCTTCTGTCGCTCATCTTCAAAGAGGGAAACACTCATGATCTGAAGTCCTATCAACCCATAGCGCTCCTGCTGGTGCGACAGAAAGTAATGGAAAGCTTGGTAAAGAGTACTTGGAGAAGAGGGGAGCACTAGGCGATGCTCACCATTCGAGCCTCAACCTTCTGGCAGCCGGTGGTCACTGGAGAGCGACCTGGACCTCCAGGTCCCTGTTCATGTGATTTTTTAGGATCTTGCCAATGCCTCTGACACAGTCCTACACATCATTCTAATTCCAAAAACGTTAAGGTTGTGTATCAATGGTTAAGTGCTCTGCTGGCTCCAGCATTACTTAGACTGCAGCGAATTCTGTACAGAAGTAAATAGGGTTTGCTTGGCTTGAAGGACATCATCATCTGGTGTATCATAAGGTGCGATTCTGGGTCGGTTGCCATTTCTTCATTTTGTGAACAACGTCCCATAAAGTCTCAGCTCCCCAACTCTACTTTATGCTGAGGATGTTAAGTTATGCAGAGCTATGATGTGCGAAGAAGAATAAGATGCGCCCCACAGTGATCTCGGACTCCTTGCAGAGTGAGTAAGTAGTAGCGCACCAGCATTTAATATGGGTAATGCCAAATCATATTTCTCCACCCCTGACTCTCAAAAAGTGTCCTACTGCCTCTATAGGGCCGAATTTTCGCATAACACCAAGGCGGAGGACCTGGGTATGATGCTGACTGACAGATACACCAGTTCCAATTGCCCAGGAGAAGACATCATAGCCCACGAAATACTGCACCTCATGCTCAGATAACCAGACGGCCTCACTCCGAAACCCCTCCCGAAGCCATGCAAGACCTGTATACAACCACAGTTACAGGTCCAAGAGGCCACTGCATCACTATACCTCCAAACGGGCCTGGACCATCTGGAGAGCCTAGGGAGGAGCAGCATAGGGTATTGCAGGAATGAGGAAAAACCGCTTGAGGACGGGCTGAAAGACCTAGAGCCCTACTGGCTTCACTAACGTAGATTACGCGGTGGCTTGTTAACGGCTCAAAAAATACCGATTACTCTAAGTCACTGGAACGGTGAAATGATACTGAATGACCACCGTGGTAATCCTCAGGGTAATACAAGTAGAATCGTCCGCTAAAGGGTGAAGACCCGGATGCTTTCACACTTTACGGCCACTGGGACGCATCACCTGCCAAGATTGCTACTGCTCTGTCTGTTGACAGCTTTGAGAAGAGGATGGGCAGCCACGCAGTGAGGCCCGGTTTGTGCTCATCCGGCTAGGAGACGGACAGTGTTGAAACCACCTACCAACTCCGAACAACCTAGTACAGCCAACCCTGCACCTAATCTTTTGTACCGTCACCATCATCGCGAACTACAATAGACCTTATACTTATCTATAAATATCTCCTCCAGTTACCACCCCCTACTAACAGCATCACTAACTTTATTCCCGTAACCCATCCTGTTATCTTACTTGCTTCTTCTCTTCCCTTTGACGCTATTGTCTCACACTATTTATGAAGGCCGTACATATCGCTTATTTCCCATGAATCTGTCTAGGTTAGGGTTCACACTTTCCCCCTTTGATTTACATGGACATCTTTTCTGTCTTCTTTTTACAATCAGACCAATCTACTGCCTGTTTGCACAACATTCGAGGAACCCAGCTCGATCACAGTCCTTGGAAAAACCACACACTGCCTACAAATGTAATCAACACTCAATCGCCCATCAGGCCAAACGGAGCTACGGCAAATGAGTGGGTATACCTACCGCATCGGACTCCACCAAAGACCAAGAACCATTCTGCAAAATCTAGAAGTAAGCGCGAAGAAATCGGTTGGTCTACACTACCTCGTTAAAAGATATTGGATAGTGAACCCCTTTTTTTATCTCTCCTTGTATGAAACAAGCTGGCTATCAAAGGAACGAATGCTGCTTCGTCTTTAAGCACTGAAGCCCGTTAGCAAAACCTTATTTTATCCCGTTACCAACTGTTTGAGGCTATTTGACCTTCTCGCCATTCAAATTGCAGTGACCTTCACATTGCTGCATCATGAGCGAAAGATATAGTTTCTCATTGACTACTTTCAGGTATTTTGTTCACATGCACATTTCTAAAGTTTAGTCCATCAGGAAAGCTTGTTCAAATAGAATATGCGTTAAAGGCTGTCGAATCTGGTGCCCCATCTGTTGGAATACGCGCTGCTAATGGGGTTGTACTAGCAGCAGTTAAAAAGTTCACTTCGAAATTAATGGACGAATCTACTGTATCCAAAATTGAGCAAGTCACCGACGGGATAGGTGTTGTGTATAGTGGCCTGTCACCAGATTATCGTGTCTTGGTGAAACAAGCACGAAAGTCTGCTCAGGCCTATCAGCTGGCTTATGGTGAACCCATTTCTCCAGAACAGCTAGTCATCCGAATAGCGGCTGTGATGCAGGAGTATACGCAGTCTGGGTAAGATTGTAAGATTTAAAACAGACGATTGATTGTTCGGAGGTATTTAAAAATCCGACGATTGTTGAATGTACTGGATGACGATCATTGCGTTTGTAGCCCTCTGTTTTGTTTTGACTTGAAGTCATCGATCTATCCACTAGTTTTTGCGCATAAGAAAGTTCATTAATCCTAGGTATGGTTCAAGGAATGGGCCGAAGGAAAGATTCAGTGTTAGCCCAGTGCTAAGGGTTCACATTTTGTAACTGATCGTGCTCATTAGCATACTATAGTTAATTCTTGTCTAATGCTAAGCTTCACATCAGGTGATCTATAGGAAATCTCAAAATATGTAAAAGGCAGCGGTAAGTGCTTCAGTTTAGTCGTAGGTTACTCAAGAGATCGCATTTACTTCCTTATGGAAATAGAGTTGGAAACACTGTTTTCTGCTGTTCGAAAACCTTTTAACATACAATGTGCTGTTATAGACAATAAAGTGTACTAAGGACATCGTAAGAAAACCCGTACTCTGCTGCGCCTTAGTTTGAGATCAAATGTTACAGAAGTAGCAGACTGGAAGTTCTTTACGTTCTGCTGCCAGGAGAAAGATACTACGCAAGACAAGCAAGTCGATTGACGAGGTTGTGAACGTTAGTCGACTGAGATGACTTAAACATGTACTGCGCATGCTGAACCACCGCCTAACTCGATGTGTTGTGCTAGAGGAAGTTGAATTAGGTTGGATAAAGGTTCAAGGTGGCCAGACTAAGGCGTAGCACGAGTCGATGAAGTCCCTGACTGTTAGCTTCAGCTGTGTTAGGAAATTTAGACTATCCGGTTAGGGTCCCCAAGACAAAAGGAATCAGTGGTTGAGGACATTTGATGATAAGGCTAAAAATCGGTCAAAACAAGGCAGATGTATTCACTTCGTGACATCTTCTAAAGGTTGAATGTTCACACCAGCCTTTATCTTCAGATCGTTTCTTCTCTCATTAATATCACTCCTTTTCTATCTAACTGTTCTTTGTGTACTTCTGTGAAGTGTGGCAACTTGAGCTGATGTACTACTGTGCAAGTTTCTACGTTGCTTTTGTCAGCCAACTGTTTCATTATTAGAGCTGAATCTTAAGAGGTGCTTTGTGATATTTGTTACAAGATTTTAATACTTACCGTTATAATTTAGATGTCTTCCACACTCCGGCGTTGTGTAAAGCCGTATGATTTTACTTTCAAACAATAATTAAGGAATGACGGTAAGTTCAAGACTCATCATCATCAATATCAACAGGCATTACTGCGTAACAGTCCGAGTTGCCACAGCTCATATCAGTACATCAAGTAGAAAGGTAGTGAGGTGAAAGATGTAGATAAGAGAATGCAGTCAAAAGAAATATAAACTACGAGAAGAAAGAAAGAATTTCAAGACTAATTATCCGTTAAAAAATAGTGCCAGCTCAAAGCACATCGTGTGATCATAAGCAGATTTGCCAGTTGTTATCAATAGCTCCCTTGGTACTACAGGCGTTTCAGAAGTTGCTGCCTTCCACAGGGTACCCAGCTCCCTGCATACCTTTGATAGCAGTGCTTAGATATCTGGCATACTCGCATTGCATTCTTTGATAAGTAGCAGCTGTATCATGTATCTATGCTTCCAACCAGTGACTCACGGGTTCGAAACACGTCCATGCTACCAATGTTTGGGTAGCCAAGTAGTATAATTAACCCTCAGACAGTAGGGATGACTCACCACTCTGGTGCAAGAACTTGCACTTGGTTACTGAGTTGCATGTTTTTCCTTGTAGCTATGACTCTCATAAGTATTCTGTGGATTCACAACACTATAAAGGCACAAGTATGACTACCCTAAAACTGGCAAATACTAGGGATATTGAGGCGCTCTTTTTATATGCCCACATATTTGTTAGCATTGAATAGATTAGAACATTTTTCTTAAAAAAACATGATGTAAGTAAATTGCTTTATCACGAGTCATGAAAACGTATACTTCTGAAAACATTTTCCTTACTACCCACTAACGATAGTATTAATTCAGGAATGATTGTATCTATGGCTTCTTTGTTGGGGTCGCCGTAAAATCCGGAATCGATGGTTGAGCATTTTAGGTAATATAGCTCAGAATCGGTTGCAATAACGGAGATGTATTCACACATCTCCATTTTGATTGTCACATCGAATTTCTTCGTCTCCTTCCTTGTGATTCTCTTTTCATGACTTTCTTACCACTCTTGACTACTTTCTTCTTTACTTCGCTACCTTTCATCTTAGTGTCTTCTCACTTGGTGTAATGATATGAGGTGTGGCAACTCGGACCGTTGCGCAGTGATACCAAGTCCTGTGTTAATATTCCGTCTGTCCTGTGTTTGATTGTTCGGAGCACTTATTCATGGTTCTTTCAACAAGACGTACTAATTAGACCAGAAAGGTGTTCTGATCATAAACGTTCAGAGTATGTTGTACGTAGTATGGGAAGTACTGGCATCGAGCCCTATGTGTGACTGTTTTGCGTACGGTACTATCTCCCACTAATCCATATAAACACTTCGCAAATAATCAGAGACTAATCTCTAGGGTAAACTGCGAAACATCCTTTGTATTCATCGTCTATCAGCTACTTATGATTTCACTTTTTAGTACCTTATGTGGTTTTATCATCAGTGAATATATGCATCACATTTATTCACGGTGATGTGTATGCAGGTAGACTTGACTGCACTGAGTAATGGCTTTTGGAAAGTGCTGTAAGTTGTTTAGTATCCAGACAACTTCCTTCATTTCATCGTAAGACACTACCCAACAAGACAAAGACTACTGTACTAAAGAAACCTATCTTTATTAAATTACGATTATAAGATGACATGTTAAAAGCTCAAGCCAACTGTTAGATACACTCCCTACACTGAATCCGGCTGTCTTACTTTCTGGGCATTTCTCCAGCTATAAATACTGAAACCCGAAATATATTTAATTCTGTTCCACATTTTATCTAAAAGTTCACATGCAGTTCTAAGAACACATACAAAGCAAACTAACAGAATGATCCGCTACCGTCCTTAACTTACGATTAAGGTGGATAAATAGGGGTCCGGCACCACTAACAAGCAATTTCTGATCGTGAATAACAAAAAATCCTGGTAATTATTATTCATTGATTTGTGATTCAAAATCAGTAACATTAAAAATTTTGTTTAGTTCTATGCTTCGTTAATTTGACTCAGTGAATAGCAGATTTGATCGACTGGCTGAACATATGGTAGTGATATATATATATATATATATATATATATATATATATATATATATATATATATATATATATATTCACCAGTCCTTCAAACTGGATTGGAGTTGATGAACCGACTGCTTTTCAATATAAAAGATATACGATGACGAATCGAGTCATCGTGAGCAATGATTGAATTGCACGTAGTGACAACATGCACTCAAAAAGGAACTGTTATTCTGTCTTTACCCGACCCAAGGGACCAAAGTGTTTTTTAGATATTCATTTTCATGTGAGCTCTCACCTACGACTTCAAAATAGGATTATTTCAGTGTCTTCATCACATTTTGATTCGACAAGTGCCAATAGGTATTTCAGAGAGGTGTTGGAAATTGCTTAACCTTCTACATATTAATAGTTAAAAGGATGACTAGGGGCTGGTTGAGTTAAATTCTGTTTCTTTTCATCCATGCCCACCAAGTAAATCCCAACTATGCAAGTCTTCCATCCACTCCATTGGAATGTCTCACCAGGTGAATAAAAAGTGCGTTGGATCGCCAACAGCAACATTTCATCATAAAAGTGATAATGAACTGCAGTTGTGGTTTCAAAATCTTCACTCATTTGTGTGTATACAAGATACTTATACATTAGCTGTAACTATCTGATGCTCATGATGAACGTCACAATGGGATATCTTGTACGACAGAAACTTTACTGCCAACATCGTTTGACGAGCCCATTTGAACTAAACTTCACTCCGTGTTGTGTTGAAGTTTGATATCAGGTAGAAGTGAGATATGAAGGGTTCTCCATTAGTTAACTAGTGTGATAAGTAGATAGACGTCAACAGTCGAGACCACTATGGATAGGAGCAAAATTGCCAGAGCGAACTTACGGGATCATAGTAAGCAGCTCTAGACTTCGTAGATTTACTACGAACTGAAAAATCACCACATTAGCGAATTCTCAGTAGGCTTCATACACTAGACGAATGCTACATGTAAATAGTACGGAATCAAGATAGAAAACGTTTGCATACTGCTCATGAGCTATTTACTTCCAATTTGTAGGCATCAAATTCAAAACTGAATTCCAAATAACCTTCGAAGGGTTGACCAAAGTCTTTCCCGCTTAGCCTGCCCACCTGCATGCTCTGACCGTTTTCTGCCACCACCTTCGGGATTTTACCCGCAATGCCCAACGCTTGCCGGCTCGACTCGAGCCACTAAGTCATGATTAAACGAAGTCACAAGGCTACTGATACCTTTATGCCCACATTTGTATCGCAGCCTTTGTTTTAAAATACCTTGGCATATAAGCAATTCCATATGCTTTTAACTTTCAGTATCATAATGTCATGTTCTTATAGGGAAGACTCCGCGTACTCCGTGAAATGTCCGTACCGCCCAGTGGCCATCGAAACCAAACTTTCAGGATTTAAGATGCAACGACCAGCACTGTCGTTTGCTCAACCTTTGCACTATTTAACCGATCGGTGGGGGGGGGAGAGAGGTAAGCGTAATGGCCGCTTATAGGTGCCATCTATTTCGGACTGCAAGTTTACGCATCCTCATCCTTAGTATATCACAAGATTATACACATGCAACTTTGAGATGAAACATCATAAGCTGCGACAAAATACGTGAGAACTAATGCCTACAACGAGGTGAGACGATAGGTGTTGTCCGTAGTTTCTACAACATTTGAATATGCTTGTGAAGGACAGAGCTGTAGAAAACTGTCCCCAAGCAAGTTTGAATTCAGCCAATGCTACATTTCATTCAACATATTTTGAACACTCGGGCTCTAGGCTCCCGCTTGGATAACTGTTCCTTATCGTAAATTGCTTCATGAGAAAATGCCAACCAATGGAAAGAGGTGTGATGTGGATCATAAAGACTCAGAATAACTATCTACAAACTTTAGCTGATTAGCGGAAGGTCTCCTTCAAATTCGAAAAATGGGAAGGGAGCGCGCAATGAGACAAGGATACGTACCATGCAATTTTTTCCGAGTGCTGTGTAATTTTTTAAGCGCTACTGGAAATTTTGCCATGCAATGCAGTAAGGACGTCGACAATATGTGTAGTTGATAGAAAGGGACGAGTGTTCCCATGTAATAAAATCTCTATCTTGCTAGCTTAATATCAAACGATTATCGATGTAAGAGGATGTGAGAGCAAAGCGAATGATCATTTACGCTCCTGCATTACTGCTGCCAGTATGTGATTAGGAACTATGGACGTACTTATATGCTGTTGTTTTTCTTTAGTGAGGACTGATTGAAAAGTATAACTTTTTGATCGTACGCTTGCAGGTTTGTTATGATGCTCCAGGACTATTTTATCCCGATAGTTGTTTTAAAAGAAAGAAGTGATTTGGTTGCAGCACTATTCACTTTACTTATTTTAGAGTTACGTGAAGGACTGAGCATTCGGTAATATGCTGCCATATACTGACCAGATCTCATTATTTTACTCCACTATTCAGAAATACGACTATCGAAGATGAGGGTAAAATAGTACAATCACGTGTCTTTGCAGGATTGTGGTCTACGAGTATAGCGCCAATTCTATTCGAATAAATACATGTTTTCGAATTGTCTAGTTAATATTTTTTGACCGAATCCGTCGTAGGGGCTTTTTATGACGAGTGGCATTCGTGAATTCTGCGGTGACTTCTCGCATCATATTATTCAAATGCAATACTATATTCTATACTTCGCAATATCTGTTAATAAGACTTTACATTTTATATTGGCAGAGGTGTTCGTCCATTTGGCGTTTCTCTGTTGGTTGCGGGCTGGGATCAAAATTTACGACGACCGTTTCTTTACCAGTGTGATCCATCGGTAAGTTTTTCAGAAAAACGTGCATCTCTAGCAAACAGGTATTTCCTCCGTGAAAGTGACGTCTTGAGCTAACTTTTCATGATGAGAACGTTATCATGTATTTGCAGAATGTATACTATTGAAAACATATCTATCACCTTATACGTATTATGCTTTGACCGACTAAACACTTATCTATTTGCTACAGGGTACATATTTCCCATGGAAAGCTACTGCTCTGGGACAGAATTCACAAAACGGAAAGTCTTTTCTAGAAAAACGGTGAGTCAAATTATTGAAATTAGTTCACTGCAGCTCGCATGTGATGACTATGGAAATGCATATAGGCAGTTATCCTAGGCCACCACTCTTAAAATGATAAACCGCCTGTTTACTAGATGTTTCATTTTCGTTTATTAAATGTTTTAAAATTGGGACTACAGCGTATCCACACTAGCTTTATCACAGGTTTAAGCCGCACATCACTGGGTAAGCAGGTACCTTAAGGTCTATTACAATAATTGTGGCTTGGTCGTCTTTCGTTGGGTTTACCAGTGAGTAGAATGTTTAATGCACACAGGGTACTTAGTGCGTCAGCGAAATAGGAGTCATTACTCAAGAATTAAACTCTCACTTATTACACTTATCAGGAAGTGTAACTATACTGTTCTTGTAGTTCGATCAGTCACTGTGCAACGTTAAGACTTTTTCTTACTTGTATTTTATCGGAAAGGTGCCATGATTTGCTAACGAAACTCCCACTTGTCATCTTTTTTTCAAACAGATATAACGAAAACTTGGAGCTGGAAGATGCTACACATGCAGCCATTCTGACTCTGAAGGAAAGCTTTGAGGGTCAGATGACAGATAGCAACATTGAAGTCGGTGTATGCAATGAGAATGGTTTTCGAATTTTAACATCAGATGAAGTGAAAGACTATCTCGCAGCCATACCATAACAGAATATTTTCGAGCCATTGAGTAATAATAATTTTTACCAATTTTGAAAACTTCTCTTTCGTTGCCTAGTTGGAAATTATTTACAATTAGGTTCAACTTTTAGATTGTTTGACAAGCACGACGTATAGGTCGTAATGCAAACAGAGTATCAGAAGTGTCATGACTGTAGTAAAATGTGACAAACCATTTTAAGATTGTCCGTTGATAATGTTAGTACTAATCAGGACACAATACAGTTTTACGTCCTAGGCTATCAGCCACATTTACTAAGTGATGACTTATGATACTATCAGTTTGCCTAGACCGAAGTAGGTGGAACAGATCTTGAGTTCGATGCCTCTTGTACAAAAGTCAATGGACTGAAATCCTATGAGACCTTATGGTCACTTAATATCTTTGCGATATAAAGCGCTATAATACTTAATGTATACTTATCTTAGCACAGTTCACAGATCCAGCGAAGCGTAATATGCCTGGATATTTTTTTTAGATAAAAATATCTGACAACCTGACTTTTCGATAGTCATTTACTCACTAATTAAAGCATCTTCGTTTATTCGATAACATTGTTCAGTGTAATAATTACCAACAGTAGAACAGGAGAAAACAACCAGAATTAGTATGCACAAATTCATGTAGTTTGAAAGTTACATAGTGCAATCTTACGCGAATACGTTAGAGTTAAGCATTTGCGTATAGAATGAGTCAGTGAAGGGACTTGATAGACAGAAGAAAAGACGAAAACGCATTGGAATATAAGAAGTTTAAAATTGGTGGTAAGTGTACACATAGTGAGTTATGATATTTAAAGGGTATCAGTTGGTTCGACTGGTGTTTCTTCTGTTTGATTTGTGTTGCCATCACTTTCAGCCTGACTACTTGGTTCTTCTTCTGCATGAGCATTATCGACCCATAAACCGCTATCAACACACCTCTTCATATGATATTCAGCTTGTTGTGGATCCATACTGCACAATACGGTTTTCAACAACTCTACATCTTTCTTCTCAAAACACTCCTGAAGATTCTGTAAACAATGAATGTTCATTTGGATAGACATATACGTTCAACAATAGCATCCTTACCAAGTTTATGCTAATAACGGAAATTATTGTTGTCTATGATACACACCAACTTCTTAAACATGCTTTTAATAACAGAACAACTCGAATATCATTTGCTTAGTGTTGGATTTTTTCTGTATGGTGATTAGACTTACTCTAATTGAAAGAGAATATGGAAAAAGGATAGTCTTCTCCGTAAATTCTCACTGATATTCTACAGTTATAAAATGGAATTATTCAGCGTAAAAACAGGTCGTTTGTGGTAAATACATACTGAAAATGATATGTGGATTGACACATGTTAAGATGACTGATGTGTATCAAGAATGATGATGAGATAAAACGGATGGCAAACAAGAATGATGGGAATAGCGTTTCGTTTTTTTTTGAATTTGGCGAGCTACATTTGGTAATGTTTTCGGAACACGGTGTAAGCATCTACGTGGTGCTGTGTCCACTGTGTGTGTGTGCGCGCGCGCTAGAATAGGATTTATTGCCTCGATCTCGCCTTTTCTTAGCCAAGACAGCAAATGTTCTCATATTCGAATACGCACCTGCTTAACTTACGCTATATATAACTTGTTCCTCAGGAAATTTATTCGGTACATACACGATGAGGAGCTAAAATCAGGTAAATTATTCTTTTCTCTTAAACTGAGCACTAAACGATTACTGAGAGATATAAAAAGACGACTGAAACAAAACATTCTGTTTGTCACTTTTGGCATTTTCCATTGGACTGTAAATGTGCAGAAACAGTGATTTCTTGTCCATTATTATCAATTCACGTTTGGAATTAACGTAAGATATGTTCGCTTTGTTGAGCTATTCAGGATATCCGTTTTCATTTAGAAAATTTCTGATTGATCAGTCACCTATATAAATCGATAAATACACTTAGGAAATTGTTAATGACAATGTAGTGACCAATTTCACGGTGGTTAGACTGAACACTACCGACCAGTTACTGATAAGACTATCTGAGATAGACTTAGCTTGACTGACTGAACCAAGTGATTGAGTGATGATTGAAGTTGGAAAGAAAACCTGGGTTGCAGCAGTATCTAGATTAACGATCACTGTCCTTATAATCCAGTCCACTGGATGGTGTAACTTGAACAACACAATATAGTAAATCCCAACAACTGATTGTCTCTAAATATGTAAGAAAGAAGACTCCAATTCTCGTACCGGTAAAATTCATAATCAACTCAACAAATAATAATAATAATAGGGCGTGTTTACTTACCGCTGGCAATGATTGAAAAACTTCGACTGGATCAAGACCACCTGGGCCAAGACGTTTCTGTTTCTCTTCCTGATAAGGAAGTTCCAACAGGAATTTTGTTTAGAAAAAAAACAGAGAAACGTTTACAGGTAAAAACCGTTCGAAAACGAGTTGTTAACTACTTCCCTCTTTTTATATAGTAAATAAGTCATTGGTTACCCCACATCACTTACTAGATGACATGAGTTTAGATGTCATATAATGTTATATTGAAGAATGTAGTATAACTGGATAGATGCATCCAGTATGACAGAAACGTGTATCACCTTGTTACCATTTCCGAACAATACTAACTCTACAGTTGATAACATTCATTCAAAACTGATCAATATCACTACTGAATACGTAACAGAATAGAATGGATTATCGCATATGATTGTTAGTTTTCATACTATGGCCTTTGGATAACTGAAGTTGACCCAACTACAGAATTGATAATAATTGTTTTATTCCAAACAATATTGTATGATAGTATGGAATTCTCAGCATATATAATTTTTCAACATATTCACTCCTAGAATAATATTTTCAGACAAAATAGGTATTTTCATCCGCATGATGTTAATAATAACAGTATTCAAGGCAATAATGTGAAGTAGCCAGCTGGTTCTCGATAGGCGTCTGGTCTATAATAAAGAATCAGTAGAAATGCAAGCATAATTTTAGTGGTTTTGGTGGTTCATTTAGACGGTATAAAAAATCTGCAACACAAGCTAAGCATCTAACAGATAGAACTTTGATGTATTTTTTTGCACCGAAAAGTTCATTTCCATATAACGTAACATTTTTCCCCTCTGACTTTGTTATTTAACTTGAGAAATGGTTAGTTGGAAACAGTTTTAAAATGTGCCAGAGTGCATATTACGTTCAGCGGACATATTTGAATGATTAAAACAATTTTGAAAAGAAATAATTTGATGAAAAATATTCGATGTATAAATTTGGTAGCCTAAGGTTTAGGCAGGCCGCCTATATTTTAAGCTCTATACAATCCCTAGGATAAAATATTTAGTTGATGGATGATGTTATTGATTTGTGATGCTAATATTAGTTTAATTAGAAAATGTGAGTGGCTTCTCTCGAACACATATCCATCCGTCCACATCAACCTAGGACTAGGCATTACTGCGTAACATTCCGAGTTGCTACACCTCATATTAGTGTACATCAAGTAAAAGGGCAGTGAGGCGCAAGATGAAGATAAGAAAATGAAGTCAAAAGAAATACAAAGTAGGAAAAGAGAGAAACGAAGAATAAGAAAGTGGTGAGATTCGGTATAGCGTCGTTAAGATGAGGATAGTGAGTGTATGCATCTGTGCCACTGACATCGGTTGTGAGTCGTGTGATCACCTAGTCTCCAATCATTGGTCCCTCTTGTCCCGTGGACCCCAACCACCTAGTCTGCATCGCCCCACATGGCTCAAACCAACAGTCAGAGACTTCATGCATTGGTGCCATGATTTAGTCTGGCCATCTCGAGCCTTTTCTCAGCTTGGACCTACTTCAGCTAACATTGTGTGACGAGGCAATCGGCGACTAGGCATACGTAACACGTATCTCAACCATCTCAGTCGATGAAGGTCCACAACTTCGTCAACTGATTTACCTCTACTCCCGACTTCTGCGTTAGTCACGTGGTGACACCACGGAATGCGGCCACACTACGAAGGTAGAGGTGGTCAAACACCTGAAGCTTTCTCATGTCTTGCAAATAACTTACTAGTGGATAAGTAGGAAAACTTGAGATTACTACATCACATTGTACACAAGTTAATTTAATGAGCGTATCAACAGTTGTGTTACCGTGGTTTACAGTTGGTTCATTCTCATATACGAAAACACAAAGTTATGGTTCATTAAGCAGCTAAGTGTATATTTTCGAATAAGCACTAAGCTACACCTGTTGTATTAGATAGGTAAAAATTTAGTCTAGTCATACAACAATTGAAACTCAAATTATTTAAACTACCAACCAGTATTTCGAATGTTGTGATGTATGTCTGTGCTATAAAAAAGGATTTCTATTACCACATAAAGCATAGACCTACCTCATCTAAACATCGCTTCATTGACATGTCTTTCAGATAATGTTTGAAATAGATCACTAGTTACTTCATCGATAGGGTGAATGCTACTACTTATGGTGATGACTCAAGGGAATACATGAGTTGTGATTTTTTTTCAAGTCATACACAACAACAGGTGGTTAATACATAACGTTTAGGATAAGTAGGAAGTAGAATCGTCAGCAATGTAATCTAACAAGATTAATCATGTGTATAAGATAGAGACATATGATGTCATAATTCAAACATCCTATGTAATAAGTATAAACTGGTTACAAACAATCAGATGCTCTAACCTCTTCAATCTGCATTACAGCCTCTTCTAAACGAACTTTGGCACGAGCACGAACTCTTTCTTGGAATGCTGTAAGTTCATCATTGAATGCTTTCTGATATTCTGGCTCAGGATTTATATATCTACAAAAGAAAATAAGTTATAAGCAGTAGTTTAAGTATAACAAACAAACAGACTTCGATAATGTTTCACGGTTGTATACACGATTCATTACGCTTACAGGACAGGTAACAAGTTTGTTTTGTTTAGAAACTTTTATACTTCATGTAGCTTCAATGTATAGTTAATGCTGGGAATTAGTGTAGCATGAAAAGGCTAAAACATTTTAATGAAAAAAGAGATAAAAAGTGAGAGGAATTGCCAACAACAAAAAAATCAGCTACATTTATTTAAAACAGAGTTGGTCACCTACATCTTTTTCATAAGTAATAAACAGAAATAAAGGTAGAATGTGTTCTAAAATACTATCGACTCTGAGCCATACTAGATAGTGTCTTAGTGCAAAAAATGATAAGCTGCTAAAATAATTCGGAGGGTTAGGATTACAGATAATCATTTTAGCTCTATTAAACATCTAAAATTAAACCATAGCTCTAAAATTTGAAACAATTAGTCCCCTTTAATAAATTTCGATAACAGCTATTAGAAGACGAAGATTATCTGAACAACATGTGATGTATTGGCGCAATACATTTCGAACAATCTGATCACATATTTACTTGTCAAGTCAATTTATATATGAAAATTAAAGGTCAAATATAGTGAAAATGAAAAGGTTGTGACACTAGTCTTGGTAATATAATCAGATAAGGATTACCAAGGTAAAGTAAGTGAAACAACAAATTGTTTTTGTACACACAGCGGGAGATTAAGTTTACGAATGGCTAACGCTTCGGCAAACTTCAGTATGCGCCCCTGATTATTCCTGTATAATATCTTAAACGCTGTTTTCGTATTAACCCTGTGATTCATTTCAATAATATGTTTTGCTATAGATGACGATGGATGTCTGTCACCTGCACTTATCAAAGTTTGTGTGTTAAACTGTTTTTCTAGTCATTTGGGGATGTGTTCACCCACCCTAGTAAGCGATGAGTCATACGTAATTCCTGGTTGTCCGTACCTCTGTAGATGAAGGTAAGTTCGAACCAGAAACTTACTGGTTGGAAGTCGAGTATCTAGTCCAATAAGCCAGTTACATTTCGCAGTGTCAGTAAAAAGATGGTTGGATAATAAACGACATATTGTAGTGCAAACGATTTTAGCCTTTATAATTATCAAATTTTTAACTGGAGCTCAGAAACGCGAAACCCAAGAAACCAGGTAGGTTTTAAACCTCATCGTCGGCGTATTAACCAGACAATTTAGGTTACTGGAATAACATACAGTAACTTAGTATCACGTATTTTTAGCTTTGGTTCGAGAATCTATGCATAATTAGCTTACCAGTTCTAAAATTGTAACAAAACATTTCACTTACTTGGCAAAGAATGGCCGAATACATGCTCTTGGATCAACCTTAAGTGATTTTGCCAACTCAAGCATAAACTGCAAAACTATACATTGATGAGATACATGCTTCATTAGTTCGGATTTCTAGGAGTAAAAGTCACAGGGAATAGACACTCATTTAACATATTTCGAATACAATCATTTTCTTCTAGAAAAAAAACAACGTGCAATTTGCAAAAAGACTAATACATCACATATAATATTGGCCAGTTTGGCTACCGAAAATATCTCCTTCAAAAAAAAAACATGCAAAAATGTCTCAAAGTTAATATGTAGGGTAGATAGCAGCCGCAGCAATAGTAAATAATGACAACATGATTTCCATAGAACATTATTATTATTTGTCCTTTGGGTTCCTAGTGGAACATAGGACTTCAGTACACGTCACCACTTCATTCTCTTCTCTCCAGTCTTCTCAACCTGCCTCCACACCACTGCCCACAAACTTTCATTCCTTCCTCACACCATCTCCTTCATCTCACCCTTGCCACAGACACCCAACTCATCGTTTCACATTTCGCTTCTGCTCAACGACCTCGCCTGACGCCTGCTGTCTCCAAATGGTCTAACCAGTGGATGCCCAATCCATCTCCACTTCCTTCTACTGCTTATTTGCTTGGCCAATGGGTTTCTGGCTGCTTCATTGACAGCCAGCCACATTCCTTCTTGCTTATTCTTATCATTCTCGCCATCCGATCTCAATCCTTGGTATCGAGTGAGCCTACGTGGCGGCCGTTGATATGATGTATGTCTGTAGTTTGTTGCAAATGCTTTTCGTGACACGCCGACAAGTCTCTCAACCATCACATAGAATCACTGCCTTACTTGACTGGCAACATTAGTGTTGAAAATCCGGATTTTGTTCACGCTTTATGCTGAATGCAGTACAGTACAGTACAGTAAGTAGATCTCCACACTGATTTCACATTAATGAAGGCTTGTCTTAATGCCTTTCCGATCCTGGCATTCACATCCTCATCTGTGACTGTCTCGCCCGTACTTAAAATCATCCTGACAATGTGTGTAGGTGAAAGAGACTACTTCCTTTAGGTTTCTACCGCACAGGGTGATTGGTGCTTGTTGTTGTTCGTTGGGTATCTTCATCGCCTCTGTCTTCTCTACATTCACTTGAAGTCCCATCTTCGCTGCCCTGCCAGTTCTGTCAACTTGTTGGTTTTTGTCAATAGATCTTCGAGTTTGTGCGACAAGACATTAGACATAAATCATCATCGACGAAATCTAAATGTCCTTCTGGGGTTTTTTCATCGGTGCAGCCAGCGTATGCTTATCTTCTTGCTCCTCACAGTTTTTTGCATGATTTAGTCCACTACAATCAGGAAGATCACAGGTGATAGTAGGCGACAGCCTTGTCTTACTCTTGTCTTCACTTCAAAGGCGTCACTGAGCTTTCCATTGTGGATCATTTGGCATGTGACGTCTTCATATAGCTGTTGAATGAGATTGATAAAGGTTCGTGTTATTAGGATGTTTTATAGGTAACTTGGAAGCCATTGGGAGGAATCATGATGAAACCAAGATGTCTCAACCTTAGACACTATTACCGTCATACATGTGCAGTAAACCGTGCAAGACATACATATTATATGATCTAACTACTAATGGATGGTGACAGTAAGATAGGTGACTTGACAACATAGTGAATTTTATTTAATGTAAGACGGTTGCAGGCAATTCGTAGAAAAGTATGAGGTGTATGTCTAATGCATAGCTGGCACAGAACAAGATGAGGAAACTTACGTTCTGTTCGGGCAATTAGTTTCTACATTACGATCTACAATCGGAGATGGCTGACCAAGTATAGGGACGTATCGACTATGCTTATCAACATTACTGATTACTTTCGGTGAAGGATGTAAACTGTATTTATCACAATAGTCATTCTTATTGACAGCTGCACATATTATTCGCCTCGTAAATGGTTCTGTACACAAACACCAAAAACTCGTTTTAGAGTGAATGGTACCGCATATGAACCTTGACTTCAGTAGGTGATCTAACTACCCATTGAAATGTAAATAGGTTATGAGATATAGATCGATCAACTCTAGAAGACGTGATCCAACTGCTGATATCTTAAAGAAAACGATTTCTAACTCCCTAAACAGAACATTCTTTGCGGCAACTCGCAGAGAAGTGTTCTCTAGTCTTCTTTTACTTAGCAAAGACCTGACAAACGTTATCTTGGCATCTTTTCATTTTTATGTGCGTGTATTAGTTTACCTGTTATCGTGCCTGTTATGGGATATAGCGTTCTATGCATAAATTAGCGCATTTTCTGTATGCTGTATGTATATCTTTTTTTGTAAAACCTGTTATAATAGTTTTTAAAACGCTCTGTTATCGAATTGTGTTTCATGCCTTTTATTCATGTAGAAAGTATTGATTACACTTCCTCATCTGTTAGTTGGGCATGTAAGCACATTTTATTCATGAGAAATGATGCTCACAAACTAACGTTAATTGGACCTTTAAACCGTAGCTAAAAGGACTTAATTATTCCAGTTCAAAGTTCAATATACATGCCAAAAAACACAGAATATACATACTTTCACAGAGAACACCAATAACACATGGGGATAACTTTTAGCCTCATATGCTAAAAGTATGGTAATTATTTTGAGATTTAGAAGGATATGTGTTAGCCCAATTATACGCACATTCAGATAGAAGACATTTAAGTGATAATCAATACAGTGGTGATTTCAAGTGAGTAAAAATGGACAACAGGCACAACTCAGTAACTGACTGTATATTTGAAACAATTAGTCCCCTTTAATAAATTTCGATAACGTTATTAGAAGACGAAGATTATCTGAACAACATGTGATATGCATTTGGCCAATATAGCAGTTCAAACAATCTGAACTTCTACACATTTACTTGTCAAGTCAAAATAAAAACGTCAAGTATAGTGAATATGAAAAGGTTGTGACACTAGTCTTACTAACATAACCAGATAAAGATTACCGAGGTAAATTAAGTGAAACAACAATTTAGTGTTATTGCTTGTATTATATCGTCGTTGACTGGACAGAATTGATCAGTCTCTATTGGCATATGGGCTCCTGTGCGGACGCCTAGATATACCTGTGTAGTTCTAGTTATGGTAAAGACGCAGGGGAATCCAGGATGCGCATTTCATCCTATTTAGGACTCGTCGGCTAGATGTACCTACCGCCCAGTGAGTGATATTATTCCCACCGGCACTCGGGAGCGGTCGCTTCAAAAGCCAAAGCGTTATCCACTACACCACCGAGCCACGATAGCCACTTCTTGTGCTACGGGTATACTTTTACTGTTATTGCTTGTATTATCCCGTCGTTGATTGGACCATCCATCTTTACTAGAACTACAACTACACAGGTATATCAATGCATCCTCACACGGGAGCCCATATGCCAAAAGAGACCGATCAATTCGGTCCAACCAACAATGGTATAATAAAAGCAATAGCACTAAAACTATACCCGTCACACAAGAAGTGGCTATCGTGGCTCGATGGTGTACTGGATAACGCTCTGGCTTTTGAAGTGATCGCTTCCGAGTCCCAAATAGGACGAAATCCGCATCCTGGATTCCAATGCTAGTCATTATCCATCTTTACTGAAACAACAAGTTGTTTTTATACATACAACGGGAGTTCAAGTTTACCAATGGCTAACACCTCCGGAAATTTCAGTATGCCCCCCTGACTGTTCCTATATAATATCTTAAAGGCTGTTTTCGTACTAACCTTATGATTCATTTCGATGATATGTTTTGTTATAGATGACGATAGATGTCTGTCACCCGCACTTATCAAAGTTTGTATGTTAAGTTGTTTTTCAAGGCATTTAGGTATATGTTTGTCCAACCTAGTCTGCATTGCACGATTACTCCTTCCTATGCATGTATGCTCAGACATACATGTCAGTTGGTAAACAAAGTTGGGGGATGTGACATAATCATTTATGTGAGGTTGAGGTTTATGGCGAAGCAGGTGTTCTGTTATCTTAACAATGATAAGCTAAGCTGCAGAGTATGTTTTAATCTCTGTTTCAATATCATACTACTTGTTTCCCCATGGTACTTTAAGAAAATATATTATCCTTCAGAATCGAGGAAATTATAGCCCTTAGGGTTAAAACTGTTTTCTACAACGGTTCAGAAACTGTAATTGATATCCGTTTTGCATAGGTGTATCTGCCAGAAATTTTCTCTCATCATTCATTGCATCAGATGTACAAATATGTTCGATCTTACTAAATAAGTATCTTACTACGCCTCTCTTATATTTCGTTAGACAAGAGCTGTAGAAACTCAAGTACTGTCCCGTTCAAGTAGACTTTCTATAAATTGATTGTTTAATAGATCCATCTTCTCTCCAACAGAAGAGTATACCACGAAATACAAGTTGATGGTTACTTTCTTCCCCATATGTCAGGTTGATATGATACGGTATTGAGCCTTTTTTAACAAAGTCATGGTATCCTCATCTGTGTCACGTATTACATCATAAACATACCTTCTATAGAAAATGACATTACTGATTAAATCCTGACTAGGGTCATAACCTTTTCATACTCATCATATTTGACCTTTAGCTTTTGTTTTATACATTCATATATGAATCGACTTGACTAGTAAATGTGTGATAAGTTAGCATATTCATTATTCAGGATATGAACCACACTTAGCTAGCTGAGATCCATTAGGCTGAGATGCATAATGGTTCAAATTTAACTGTATGAACCACACCTGCATACATTTCAATGTGCATAGACCATTGTGAGCTACAGAGAATAAATGGATAAACCGACTATAGATGTACACTTACCTTCTCCATTTCTAATTCAACACACCAAATAACAAGCTGATTAGCTGTTTCTTCACAAACAAGATATGGATTCTCAATAAGATAATTTTGAGAGCATAATGGTTTGCGTAATAATCCAAATTTTCGTATAGCACTGTTATGTTTACTGACAAAATCTTTTAGACGATTAACTGCTGCCTCTTCAGGATTATCGTTTTTGCTAGTGTCATCATCATATTTCAGTTTAGATGAGTTGATACACTGTATAGAAAAAAAGTTGAAAATTGGAACAAAAATAATTTAACTGTTTTCCTTGTAAACTAAATTTTCACAGCTAAAAAAGTTATCTATTCAACAACTGCTAGGGTTTATTAATCAATCTGAGTGGCAATTGAATCACAATATAATTCATAGATGAGAATAAAGAAATTTTTAAGTCATATTGGGTTATTCACAACGGACTGTAGCGGCGAAGATGCATTCACAGCTTGACACCTTACACTTCGTTATTGGCTACATAACTCGTTAAAGGTGTTAGACTGCTTGAATAAATACATAGTCACCTTTTGAAAAACATGTAACGCCTTATTTTTTTGTATACCAGTAGATAATAAACCAACCCATTAAACTATATTAAACAATTATACATAAATTTGCAGTATTATTTTACGCATTTTTGTATAAATATTGTGTGGAGAGATCCGTGATAAAATGCTGCACATGATCAGCCAGTATTAAAGCTCACTTGAGACCACACTAGACTATGATCCAGAATATTTGTAGTTTAGGTGAATGACCTTGCTTGCGTTCCCTGAGCTGGGTAATTTAGAACGCAAAACAACTAAACATTTACCTAATATCTTTCACACGGATTTCAACAGTGGGCTGTCTGTCGGTCTCGGAGTATTCCATTGTTACTTTATCATTATTATTTGTCCTTTGGGTTCCTAGTGGAACATAGGACTTCAGTACCACGTCACCACTTCATTCTCTTCTCTCCAGTCTTCTCAACCTGCCTCCACCAATGCCCACAAACTTTCATTCCTTCCTCACACCATCTCCTTCATCTCACCCTTGCCACACACACCCAACTCATCGTTTCACATTTCGCTTCTACTCAACGACCTTGCCTGAAGCCTGCTGTCTCCAAATGGTCTAACCAGTGGATGCCCAATCCATCTCCACTTCCTTCTACTGCATATTTGCTTGGCCAATGGGTTCTTGGCTGCTTCATTGACAGACAGCCACAGTTCCTTCTTGCTTATTCTTATCATTCTCGCCATCCGATCTCAATCCTTGGTATCGAGTGAGCCTACGTGGCAGCCGTTGATGTGATGTATGTCTGTAGTTTGTTGCAAATGCTTTTCGTGACACGCCGACAAGTCTCTCAACCATCACATAGAATCACTGCCTTACTTGACTGGCAACATTAGTGTTGAAAATCCGGATTTTGTTCACGCTTTATGCTGAGTGCAGTGCAGTACAGTACAGTACAGATCTCCACACTGATCTCATTAATGAAGGCTTGTCTTAATGCCTTTCCGATCCTGGCATTCACATCCTCATCTTTACCTGTCTCGCCTGTACTTAAAACCATCCTGACAATGTGTGTAAGTGAAAGAGACTACTTCCTTTAGGTTTCTACCGCACAGGGTGATTGGTGCTTGTTGTTGTTCGTTGGGTATCTTCATCGCCTCTGTCTTCTCTACATTCAATTGAAGTCCCATCTTCGCTGCCCTGCCAGTTCTGTCAACTTGTTGGTTTTTGTCAATAGATCTTTTATAACAAAACTGGGTTTTTTCATAGGTGCAGCCAGCGTATACTTAACTTCTTATCTTATCTTTGAGTTCGATTGTTACTCTAATCTACACCAATGGACAGCTGAATTGTTTGGGGATAACAAAAGCTTTTAGAAATGAAAAGATTCCCTTGCTTAGAAAAGGTATCAGTTTATATTTTATGAAAAATTCCTTGAGAATTATTGATGTAATTACCGATTTTAAACTAAAAGGTGATATAAAGTGGAACGCTAATACTAGTGATAAAAATTTGTTTACAGAGATATTTCGTTTAGTATTTGATGCAACTCTTACTGAGTTAAAGTCAACAGTTAATAGAAATCGATATAGGCTGACAGAAATGTGTACACCTAAATGATTAGGTCTCCGCCTCTCCTTTAATATAAACCAGATAAAAAGAGGAAAAAGCGGTTTGTCAGTGGTTTAATATCAACTGCTAACTGCATCGATGTGAATAGAAGCAGATTTAGCCTATTCAACCAAATAAATAACTTAAAATGGTGATTAGTCAAGGGGATGGAAACGAAGTAAAGCAGTTCATTACCCAGGCTTAAAATCTTGGCTCCTTGTATAAGCACAAACAGTACATGTGATGTCTAATAATACTACTTGGTTAAGCATGTCTTATAATGAAGAATGGGCTTTTAAAATATGACTTTCTGGTTAAAAGTTGATTTCTCACAACAATAGATTACAACTTTATCGAACCTAAAAGTAGAGCATCTGAAATCTGTTTTTTTTTCCCAAATGCTGCTAACATATTAAATCAAAAAATCAAGTTGTTTCAGACTAGTAGATAAAAAAAGTTTCAGTATATTTCCATCGTCATTAGAATCTGATGGAATGATATGAAATTGATTATCAAAATCTAATACAAGTGAACTCTCTGAAGATGATTACCTCATGTTTCACCGAGAGGTGTTGATTTCTGGAGTTGAAAACATATTAAGCGTTGATAATCACACCAATCTTACAACTGAAGTAGGTCGCGACATACTTCATGTCTACAGGGTTATCAATGTGTATAGCTGAAAGTTGTTTCACAGGTCAGTAGTGTGTAGGGATTCAGAGGTAGAGTTGTGGTCTATTAAGCTAGACACTCAAACCTTTTAGTCAATGAGCTATGCGTTCAAGAAACTCTTCACCTGTAGAGCTATCAATAGGTAGGCAGTATAATTAACCTTTAAACAGTTGGTCTATTCGTTAGTCTTTCGTATTTACTGAAATAATATTAGGAAAGTGGTTAGCGTTCTGATTTTAATGATTGTCTGATTGATAGTGATGTGTGATTTTTTAAAACTGAAAATGATGCATTAAAACGGTAATCTAATGGTAATTGGATTGCTTTATAACAAACTCTATGAATTTTATCAACACATCTTCAAGTAATTCTAAGATAAAATGAGCATCAGATCATTGAAAAATTTGCATGAATATCAATCTTCACCATTCAGTGTAAACTGCTTCTTGAAAATTAGCTAGCAAGTGATTATCACTATGTGTGTATTTATGATGGTCCCACAACTTTTCAAAGTGTACCTCGAATGGAAATGTACTCACTCAGGCACCGTGTACACATTCGTGTAGTAGGCAATGAGCCGCACCTATTGTGTGAAGGCTGCCCAAATCTTTGCAGGTGGGGAGGGGTTCGAACCCGTGACCTATTGGTTAAAAGTCAACTCCCCAAACCAGTGAGCGACAGCTTCACTTTCAAAGTACCTACAGTCAGCAAAAAAAATACAACTGATTATTAACTTATACTCTTTAGACAGTACGTTAGGACACCTTCTAAGAAATCATCTTTGCTACACAGTACAGAACAATCGTCTTATTGCAAATAAATTACATACGATTAATTAACGTTACATTTGACATCAATCGGGTGGCTCAAGAATTGAGAATATAAACGTTAAAAGATGATTCAACCTACTGTTTTTGACTTCCCTTCTTTGCAAATTGTATCAATATTCAAAGGTCTCAGCTAAATTATGACTTAGGGAGTATATCTTGAAGAGATCATACCCTTTCTTTCTTCTTCATTTCAGCTTCTTTAGCGAGCCATTTTTTGGCTTCAACTTCAAGTTCTTCAAAACGTTTCTGCAACTCATTCACATCTTCAGCACCAGCCTATCCTCCAGTTAGTAAACAGCATATGTAAACAATGATGCAAACCTCTTTAGCTTGATTTAATTTCTGTTGTGATTCATTGTATTTAGCTAAGAAAGATTTATAATTCTGCTCAAACTCTTCCTTTTCCTTCTTCCAAGCAGCATCTCTTTCTAGACGAGCTTGATGGCGCCATCTAAACAAGCTGGGTGTATCTATATTAGGATGAGTATCGTCTTCGTCATCAGAAACCTACAATATTGAGTAAATATTATATGTTAATAGATATTCTGAAACAATAAAGAAACAACTAGAAGTTGTCAAAGAAACTGTTGACAATCCATCGACACTGAGATTTAAAAATATTCCGGTTTGAAACAACTGTTTTCCTTGATTAACTTCGATAAAACAATGAGAAGACGTAATCTGTCTGAATCGTGTAATGGCTTTGAGCAACACATTGCTAACAATCAGAGCATATACGTACGCACTTTTCATAGGTAGCCGGACCACGCTGAGCCAAAGCTTCTTTGTGTGCCAGAGATCAGATACTGTGATCTTGACTGTGTGGTCTCCAACACAGACACTGTAAGTACAACAGCTGGGCAGTTGAAAAACTAATGAACTGTGAGAAATGTTAAGGTGGAATCCATAACTTGTGAATGATTGGGACACTGATTATTCAATTGATTTCGAATAATCTCTTCGAAGAAATTCCCGTGCTGTGTCAACCCCTAGATCTTCTGTGACGAGGTTATATCTCTTGTAAAAGTTCCATGTTCTCCAAGCTCATATACTTCAATCAGCATAAGTACATGTCATCTCAATAAGCACTTGGCTTCGGTCATCTGGTCAAGGTTTAATCTATGCCTCATTTAAGAAATTCCATTTTAGTTTGTTTATTAGAAATATCACACAGTGAAACGTTATCCAGCAAATGCTACCGTTTCATTGTGTGATATTTCTAATAAACAAACTAAAATGGAATTACAATCGACCGTAGTGCCCAAGTTTCACCCTTATCTTAATGACTCATTCAAGAAAGCTTAAATATTTCACACAATTTTAACTTGTAACTTAGTAGATATCCACTTGATGGCCCACTAATTCACATTCAGTCATCACCACTACATTCATTTATATAGCAAACTAGGCGATATGGATAGGTAACACGAGACGAATAACAGCTGAACAGTGAGACTCCTTTAAAGAAATCAGAAACACTGAGTTACCTTTCTATATATTCGGAATTAAGCTGATCAGTGCCTAGATAAATTCAACTTGGAGTCAATGGCTTTTAACATTTAAGTCTGACCAACCTACTTACATGAACCAGGATGCTATATAGTGCATTAGGAATTCCGAAATGGAACCAAAACTTACTCAGCAACTTTGTGCGAATTCCTACTGTAGGCAATGAGCCACACGTATTGTATGAGGGCTGTTGATAATACCTGGTTGCCCAAATCTCGTTAGGTGGAGTGGTACTCGAACCTGTGACCTACGGGGAACTCGCAAGGTAATGATAAATCATACAATGTTCACTATTTTACAAACCTGATTAGCTTTTACACTATCTAGCGAGACACGTCTCTGACCACTGGTCGAAATTCCGTGGTAGGATGACACAAAATGCGAGAAAATTGTTTAGTTTATTGACTTAAGATGCTAAGGTAAACCGGAAATATGTGCAGTCTTCATTCAACCAAAATGAAAAGTATAAACTCGATCAATATGATTTTGGAATCTTTAAACATTGTATGTTCGTTGGTGTTAGTAGATGATGACAGACTAGTGAAAAGTACACAGATTTCATTCACATTTCATTTCCGTCCTGCTGTTCCCAATTATATTGAAGACAATCACATACTTTTATAATATGTACACAAGTTGGTCATCAGCCATGTCTAGATGTCTGGTTTTGAGCTTAGCAGAGTTTTGACCATAGGTGTCTTCATGGTACTCCTCCCACTTGGTCGAATCACTGTGTGAGCAATGTTGAAGTCACGCGAAGGATACTAGGCAGTGAAGGCAAGTCAGTCGATAAGATTGTGAACCTTTATTGACTAAGATGGCTTGGACATGTGCTGCGTACGCCCAATCACCGCCTAGGTCAACGTGCCATGTTAGGGAAAGGTGGACTTAGTCGGAAGCGGCCGCAGTGTAGCCAGACTAAGACGTGGAACCAGTCCATGAAGACCTTGAGTTTTGGTCTGAGCCGTGTGGGAAGATGCAGACTATTTGGCTGGGGTCTTCGAGACGACAGGAATCAGTGGTGGAGGACTCTAGGTGACATGACTGTAAATCGATCACAACTGCGTAGATGCATTCACTTCTTGACATCTTCAAATTACCTATCATCTCATAGAACTTTATCGATTTTGATATTACTTTTCTTGCCCACTTCTTCTTTGTTTATTACTACGAAGTGTGACAACCTGAGCCGACCCACTTTTGTGTACGGTGCTACATGATTTCGTCTCTGTTAGAGCTGAGTAAGGTACCCCTCTATATGACATACGTTTTCTACTTAGCAAGAGTTATTTTCAAAGTTTCGCGATGACTTCCCACATTTTTTACCTGATGAGTTCATATTTTTGCGAATACTACGGTTGGGAAAGTGATAGACGCATGGAGTAACTAAAACTTTATTTTTTTTGTTTAAAAGGCAAAATATGCAGAGTATGGGGACCAAGAAATGCCTCTTTCAAGATAATCTAACACGAATAAGGAACAAAATTATTATAAGGAAGGAAGGAAAAACGGAACAAAAATGAAAAGAGCAATGGATTATTAGAGATGCAGTTGCTAAGATATATTAAGTACCATCGTTTTACTACTCAGCAAAAGAAAAAGCTGCAGCACGATAGCCGATAGTTTCAACTTCGAGCCATGTCCAGTGTTGTCTTAAGCCAGAGAGTTACGCGACCACCCAGATTCTGTCCATTAAGTCCAGAGGAGCCAACGGATACGAAGCCGATATAATCACTCTTAACTCCATGTCACCATATCATACACCGACTACCTTCATATAAACTCCAACTAGCTCCGAAACTAGCTAAAGGTAAATGTAAGGGAGCTGATGAAATGGTATTTTCTGGGCATTTCCAAGATATCGAGGCCGGTGCTTCAATGTGACTGACTTCACACAGTTACTGATATTCTACAAGACTGACTGGCTGTCAAAATCAACGTAGAATCTTGTATACGAGTGCATCGGTTCAAGTTGCAAGAGTTTATAGTAGTACACAAAAAACAAATGAATAGAAAAAGTGACATCAAATTCGATAAAGCAGTGTGAGAAAACAAACAATCTGACGAAAAAGTTTGGTGTAAACATTCAAACTTTAGATGTGAAAGACTGACAACATCTGCACAACTGTGACCGATTTCCAGCCATGCCACCAAGTGCCCTCAACCACTGATTCCTATCGTCCCGGAGACCAAACCAGGTGGTCTACATCACCCCATACACCTCACACCAACAGTTAGACTTCATAGACTGGTGCCACATTTTAGTCTGGTCATTCTGAACTCTATTCCAACCTAATCCTAGCGCATGATCAGAGTCCAAACTTGTATTCCTGAGAGAGCGGCAATCCACCAATTCTCTCCAACGATGGCTTACAACAATATGACCTACCTGTGTCCATCGTTGGTTTGATGTCAGCCAATGCCAAGTTAGACAGTGCCTCACCTTATGCCTCAAGTTAGTGCTGGTCAGAAACAAGTGATTGTCGGAACAAGCATGCAGGAGACGATCAACGTTGCCAGTCCGTTGGGATGGGATTCCGTAAATACCTCCAAGATGCCTTTTCGATTGGGTCAACTTCCTACTCGAGCGTTAAAGTCACCTCCCATTATAACTACATCTGAACGTTTTGTCTTCCGTAACAAAACTGACAGCTTTTGATAGAATTCATCCTTTGTATCATTCGACCTACAGTCGCTGGGTGCGTAGGCGGTAATTACGAATGGCCATCGGTCGGTCTCATGATCCTTTCTAGCCCCTACAGATTCATTCAGTTGAACGGCATATAGCCGCTGTTCACTGGTATTTAGTCGAGCCCAATTCCTACTCTACGATTCAATGCTATCGTCTGCACCAGCGAGTCAATGACAACTGGCCACTGCGTCACTGGCTACTCTTAAAGTGAATTTTGAAGTTTCACTACTATAGCCAGCTGAGGCCAATTTAATAGGCAAACTCGGCTCCCATATACTTGTCTCAGAGACACAGCATACATTCATGGCTGGAGATTCCAGAGTTTTGGCGAGTGACGCTTGCTGTCCGACTTGGCATAGAGTTCAGATGTTGAAAGCTCCTGCATGAAATCGATAGTGAGGTCTTAGGAGACTAGAAATGAGGTTTTAATGCCTGTGACCGTCGGTAATGGTCGCAGAATGAGACGTTGGGTAAGGTGTAAGAGGCTTAATATTAGTATCAGCAGGTGAAAGCAAAGGAGGACACAGAGTTGAGAATAGGTTATGTGTGACTGGGTCTTGTGTACTACCGGCTGCCCACACCATGAGAAGTTAATTCTTCTAAAGGGACCTGAAGGAGAAAACGATTTTCTCCCTTATTCTCCTTGAAGTTGAGAAAGCTGTATTGAACCGGAAACAATGCAAAGAAGAAGGACCTGACAGTCTGCCACCTGAAGTTTTGAAGGATGGAAGTAGGAAATTGGTGATTAGAGTGAAGGAGGTACTAAGTTGGGCATGGGAATCAGAAGTAGTGCTGTCAAACTGGTGTACTTCACTTATCATCCCATTCTAGAAGGGAGAGAAATCTTGTGACAGCCATAGGGGAATCAGCTTGATTGATATTGTGTCCATGATCGTACGGCCTATAGTTACCCGATGCCTAACTGGATTTCAAGAAAACCAGGCAGGTTTCAGACCTAGTTAAGGGCGCATTGATCATATTTTCATCCTCCGACTGGTCCTGGAACACAGGCATACTTACCAGCCAACAGCCGATACTTGCCATATTTCCCGACTTTAGGCGGGATTCGACTGTCGACCGTGAGGTCTAACTACGAAGCGAGTGCTGAGAAAGTATATAACGCTAATCAAAGCTCTCTACTCGAACTCACCCAACCATGTCAGGGCTTACGGATAGTTGTCATGTGAATTGACGACAACTAGTGTTATCTGCCAGAGATGTCCACTGTCACCGTTCGAATTAAACTTCGTCATGCACGTACTAATGGACATAACCCTATGTATGTCTGACTTCACAGGGATTGATCTACTCCCTGGAGGCCATCCAGTCGACTTGTAATATGCAGACAATTTTGTTGTGTTAGGTGAAGATGCTGACAAAATGCAGTCTTTCGAATACATTGAGCAGAAATTTGAGTATGCTTGGCATGTTTTGTTTGCACCTGTCAAATGTAAGATGATGCTCCAGCTTAATGATAGGGAGTGAAGTGGTAGGATGTGTCAACCACTTCACTTACTTGGGGATTTGCATCAGCCCGAACAGAGTGGTTGCCGACGACATCTTAGCTCGGATACAGAAGCCTAGTTTGGCAATTGTCAACTTGTCATCTGTGGCACCGACCGGTGACTATCCGAAAGGTTTGTTAAATCGTGGTTAGACATAAAGTGGTTGCCGTTATAGTGTAAATTGACTTTATGAGGGTCTGAGGATGAAGCCGTATTGCTGGCTGGACGGGATTTGACGGCAGCAGGCTATTTTTGACGGATGACTGGTAGTAACATGCTGGTGCTGATTTCACTATGCTAACTGGGTTCAGAAAAGGTTGGCCTTAAAAATAGCACACGGCTCTTTCTCCTGTGATAGTCCGTTGCCGGTGGTGTGGGTCTTTTTGTCCGGCATTAGCACAACTAAATCTTGATCTGATAATTCCAAGAAGACAGTAGGCGACAGGCCTTAAGTAGATGTCGCGTGGGCTCTGTAGACAGGTAAATTAATAAATTTTCTTTTTAGGTTAACTTGCAGAAACAAATTCCAATGTGTGGGCAACTGGGAGGTATCAGCCACCCCTTCCATCTGAGCAATATAAGAAAACCCAACCAAACATAACCTACCCTTATTACCTTTATCACCTCTCTTCCACTCACTTACTGATACTAGCATTTAACCTTTTGAAGCCCTCTTAACCTCTCACACTGCGAACATTGCTAGAAACTTAAGCCAGTGAAACACCATTTCCATTCTCTCAAAAGACATTGGAATTTTTACCGTCCGGATCCAATGCTTAATCAAACAACAGACATCTCTTCCCGAAAGTCTTGAGTCATATATATAAGCCGTTTTGGAGATACGCACACAGGATTTATGAGGGTTATTTACTTGTCAACGAATCTGCAAAATACACTTGATGAATGTCAAGAGATTAAATGGTTATTTCTTGTGGGTTCGATGGTGTAGGCCTAGCATTGAGCTGTATAACAGAAAGCGCACTTCTCGACTGGATACCAGTTAACAGCCATCTGTGGGCTGTTCAACTGAATGGATCTATCAGAAACTGAAAGGATCATGATACTCACCGATACCAATTTCTATTCTCTGCATACAAACCCACTAACTACAGTTCGGATGATGCGAAGGATGAATTCCATCAAAAGCTATCAATTTTGTCACATAAAATAAAACGTTCAGACATTACAGGTCTCTGACCACAGGTGCTCATGTAAAACTGCTCACATATGGTGGAATCAGCGTGTGGGCAATGACGGGGCCAGTCGAAGGGTAGGTACTAGCCAAAGCAGGTAAGTCAGTCAAGGAGGTTGTAAACATTCACCGATAGAGGTGAGTTGGACATGTGTTGCGCATACCCAGCTACCACCTACCTCAACGTGCAGTGTTAGTTGAAGTAAGATTGGGTCGGAAGAAGACTCACGGAGGGCAGACCAAGTCATGACACCAATCCATGAAGCTTTTGACTGTTGTTCTGAGCAGTGTAGAGAGGTGTGGACTGCCTGGTTGGGGTTCTCCGGACGATAGGAATCAACGATTGAAGACTTGGTGACATGGTTGATAATCAGCCACAATGGCGAAGACGCACTCATTTATTAATGTCTTCTAAGGCTAGAAAATCACTAACTTTTATTTTCGAATTCATTCTCCTCCTATACGTTCTTGTCTACTTAGTGTGTCTTAGTGATTAGTCCAATGATCCACCACGATAAGTAACTCTATCAGAATTTCAAGTCGACAAGGTCTTAGGATGCACTGACCAAAGATAAATTCGTAGATATAGAAGATATCGCATCGCATATGATCAGTTTACTCAAAAATTTGGTAGACATTTCTCCTTAATGTTTCGGGAATAATGTGGAGTAATGTCGTTCATACATGCATGTATGGCTATGCATTATCATTATTTGATGATAAAAGCACAAATAAAAGGCCAAACACGTCTTCTCATTGTTCAAATGACTTCAAGAGGCTTTGGAACCGATGAATTTCAACAAGTACCTGGTAGATTCTTTTCAAGAAGTGACTACTAAGTGATAGGCAAACCCAATCCACATCTTCGCAGGGCCATGAGGAAAAGCAACATTAAAAATCTGTGGCAATACGAGAGATCGCAACATTTCTTTAAATTTCACTTCTGTTTTTGGCCTCACGTTTCCCCGATTTCTGCCCCGTGCTTCTTACCAGTTTGCCCCACGTTTCGTAACCTTTCCTCCGTACTCGGCAAGTGGCTCTACATTTTGCTTCAAGTTACTGACGGTCTACAATGCACTATTCATGGCCCTTAAGAAAAGTGCTTACTGGGTGCGTTTCGCTTAATCCAGCCCGATAGTACATAAGTGATACACTCTAAATAACAAAGACAAACCTCAATGTGGTCCCACTTGCTGTAATTAAGACCCGACATTTCTACACAGTTCGCCGTAGAATCCAGAGAAAACGAAATATTCAGCCAGGCTGAGATTCAGAACCACACGTTCCGATATAATTGAAGAACCGCCAGATTTCAACCTACTATAACGATCAGCTGTTGATATATTTTAACCTAACCTATAGGTAAATACGTAGGTAGGTACTGACGTTATTTCAGGGGGCAAGTAGAAACTGGAAGTTAAACAGTGACCGCGGAAATCTGGAAGCAAAAAGAAAAAGGAGAAAACAGGGCCGACAACTCGGTAAGTGTAAAGGGTGTACTTACATTTGATAACAAAAGGTAGAGCTTGAAAATGAAGAGATGAGGAGAACAAGAAGTCGAAACCGGAGAATAGGTCAGTAAGGTTTCGATTGCTTTGCACTACTAACAGTCCAGTTTAAGAACTCTTCCAACATATGGAAATTATTTAAAGAGCTTACTGGTAAAAAACAGATGACAAAACAAACTCGTTCGGATGTCTGTGCGTTAAACAAGTCATTTATACATCGGCAAGCTAATTTCGCTCTTCTTAATGTCCAAAATCAAGTGAATAGCTGCTTTCCAGGTTTCAATACAAATGATGTATTTAAATGTTTAATGTCTTCGAATCCCTCCCAAAGCTTAGATCCTGATGGTGTTTCTAGTATCATATTTAGAAAATGTGCAGATATTTTATATGATCCACTTACAGATATCTTCAATGTATTGTTCTCTAAAAACATAGTACCCACTGCTTGGAAGCAGATAAAAATTGTACCAGTGTCTAAGCCGTCTTCTGGATCAAATGTTACTTTAGACCCATCGCTATAACTTCCCCTTTTGTGGAGACAACAGAAAAATTAATTCTCCTTGTGATTGAGCCTTCATTAGCGGCCTTCAGAGATCCAAAACAGTTTGCTTACAAACACCAAGGGAGTGCTTTGGATGCAGCTACTGTCTTGCATCATAATATTGTTTCTAGTCTCGACAAAGGTGTTAGGTATGTCCGTGGTGCCTTTTTGAATTACTCATCAGCTTTGACTCTGTTCCTAGACCACTGTTGTTAAGTAAGCTTGCCATAGTTCACACTAAGCCATAAGTTACAAAATGGCTGCATTCTTATTTTTCTGAAAGGAAACAGCACACCATTCATAAAGGGATGCGCTCGACTTCATTGCTTACTGAAGCTGGTGTGCCTCAAGATGCTATACTTTCTCCTTTTCTGTTTTCCTTCTTTTCGCACGATTTGCCTTATTCTGTTGAAACTAATTTTATCAACTATGCTGACGACCTGACGATTTCTATTCCAGTGAACTCTTCTTTGTATTGCTCGAAATCAAATGAATTCTTGTATGAAGTTGGTAAACGGTCTCTCTCGCATGGTCTCAAACTAAACCCCTCTAAATGTCAGACTATTAATTTTAGCCCCAAGCGTAAAGAAGACATGTGTGAGCTGCTTAAATCTCATGATGCCTGCTGCATCAAAGCTGTTTCTGCAGAAAGTAAATCGAGTGTGAACTATCTTGGGTTGGGTTCTACTTCTAACCTTTGTTGGTCGTCCCATATTTTGTTGACTTGTAAAAAAATCCTTCCTTTAACTTATTACACAAAGAAACTAAGGCTTTCTGGTATGACTCAACTGCTTCTTTTACGACTTACTAGTTCCTGCATTTCACCTATTATTCTATATTGTTCCCCATTAATCTTCCCTGGTCTTCTTAAAAAGGACTATGTTATGATGAGTACAGCTTTGAAGGCCGTCGGTAAGGTGAGTGGTGTATCTCTGGCTCAATTGGTTAACACTATAGTTGATCGACATATATATTCCTGCAAGCTACTAGCTACAGAAATTTTAACTGACAGTGAGCATCCACTTCATTTACAGCTCTTTCCATGTATCTCCTCAGGGAGGACAAGGAGAAACTACACAAGACTGAATGCTCGTACAGCTAAGTACAAGAATTTGACTGTACCTTACCTTGCACGCATATTTTGTGAAGAAAAAAGTGTTAGAACAGAAATCACAAATCAACTTTGTAACAGTTAACAATCTCATTTCAATAATTCAACTTACAATGCAAAATTTTCTCGTTTTCGATATTCTTCACATAAGCTAAATTCTTACAATGAAAGAATTCGAAAGGCTGCAAAGTAGTACGTATATGCTCATATTTTGTTGTTATTGCAATACATATTACGCTGGGGATTCCAAATTGTACCGCAAATTGTCTAGAATAAAGTGAATCATTATCATTATTATTACATCAAAAGCCTTAATAACGATAACAGAAGCCTAACAGTTTTGAATTCATGCATGTCGGTACTGCTTTCGGGTTCTATTCGTCCGGTTCCACTTCTTTTTTGGCGGCAGAAGTCTTATCTAGTATTTTGCTGGCAGCTTTTGTGCTTACTATTATCTATAGGTTACTCCCTTGTATACTGTGCAGAACAAATGACTGGAGAAGCCATGAAGCTGTTGCAAATACAGACAGTCCTTATGAAACTTCCAGGTTTTAGCGAACCCAAAATTTTAAAAGCAAGTTAAACTGATTGAGCACAGAAGCAGGCGGAAGAAGCTGACTGAGTTTGAAAGATAAAGATACGAAATTAAAATATGCATAATTAGAAGGTATCACTGAAAATTGAAGGCTGGGAATAACAGGAGATACTTTGATCAAAGTGGTGTGGCTGGGTAGCTAGTTGGCAGGCTCGCTGTGTAGGTCGGTGGTGCATCATCCGTACCAGCATTTTCATCTATCAAAGGGCAAATCTTTATCTATAAGGTGATCCAGACCTACTGAGAAGAATTCTGAGTCCAGCTAATCGTATGATTTTAGCTGTGGTTACCCTGGTCCGCGGAAAACGACTTCAGGGGCCGAACCTCTTCCCTCCACCACATTACTGACAGAGGGAAGAAAATATATTGCTGTACAAGATTTTAGGACATGGCTTTGGACCTCACTCGTTTTTTGAACTTCCAAACAAGTTAGAACGTATCAAAAAGTATAACAGGAGAGTACAAAAGCGAGGCCTAGAGGCAATCCTCATGGAACGACGCTCTTTCCGTCGGGGAATCAGCCATAGTAACTGACTCCCAGAAGGACTGGCGTCATCTCCATCAGACATCGCTTCTAAAACTGGTCTGGACAACGGCTGAGATCTACCGGTAAAGAATTGTTGCACGGTCATACTTGTCTATCCCAAAACCACGACTGTTAATGGGTCTCTGAATAAATTCAGTGTGGAGGGTATTTCTCTTCCCCATAATACAGCACCCCATAGAGCTCAAACAGTCAGTGAGAAGAATTAGGCTGTCATCTTGGTGGTGCACGTTTGTTATTCCACCCCCGGTGAGTTGTCTGTTCTGAGTGGGTAATACTTGCTTGTTGGTATGAGGTGCCACATATAAGACCTTAAACGTTTGCATGTTTACGAACAAACAACGAATCTCATCGTTTGGAAACATCGAGGAGTAACCTAACATACTTACTTGCTTTAACGCACTCTTCCAGGACTACGCTTAAAACGCACTTCGTTCAGCGAAACTTGTTCCCTGTTATCAAATCGATGCATCTACGATAGGTTAGCTCAAAAATCTTGAGTTATGGAAACTCAGAGGGCAAAGTTCAGCCCTCAAACCAGTCAGAATAGCGTTGTCTCCCTCAGAACCCCTTCTTAACAGCAAAAATCAAGCATGGAGATTTCAAAAATGCAGCTGAACTCACAAATCGCTCCTCATCTATTTACGTCACACTTTTTCCGATTTTCGGTGGATGGGCCAGCTCAGACCAATGAACACCCTGGGAAGTCAGCTGACCCTGCAGGCCATTTTTCGGAATAATCACGAGTTCAAGTAGCAGTTTACGAGACCGTCAGAAATGTATTTTCTATGAAATGCTTTGCTGTAGAACTAGCTACGATATGGTTGTAATTTGTCCATTAACCAAGTTCCTGGGCTTGGATGCAAGTGTTAACTCAAGTGAAGTGAGCATTGGATCAAGAGGGCAAATAACAGTAGTTGTGGGTTTAACTGAACTAAGTCGCCTTCGAGTTGTGTGCCGGATTGAAATCTTTATTCGCATGAATGCATAACACTAGATTATGTGAATATAAAATTGTTCGCCAACAGTCAGCATTAAAGCTGATTTTCCAAAATATTCTGCATTATTAACCACCGAGAAAAGAGTGACACACCGATGAAGGGCCATCCATTATTATTATTATTGTTTGTCATTTGGGTTCCTAATGGAACATAGAGCTCCAGTAGCACGTCTCCGTTCCACTCTCTTCTCTGAAATCTTTTGAACCTGGCGCCTTGACAGCCCGAAAGCTCTCATTTCCTTCTCGCACGATCCCCTCCATGTCACCCTCACCACGGACGCCCAACTCGTCGCTTCCCGTCTGGGTTTCACTCGAGGGACTGGCCTGATGCGTGATGTCCCCAGTCGGCTTTCTCAGTGTATGCCCAATCCATCTCCACTTTCTTCTGCACATTTGTTGAGCGATAGGTTCTTGGTTGGTTCGTTAACATACCAGATTTCCTTGTTGCTTATTCTTTCTGGTCATCTGAGCTTCAGTAACGAGCGCAGGCGGCTACTGATGTGATGAATGTCTGTAGTTTGTTGGAAATCCCTTTCGTAACGCGCCAAGTCTCTGAACCATACAGAAGCACTGACTTGACTGATGTTGGTGTTGAAAATCCGCATCTCGTTCCAAATGCTGAGTGCAGGAGTTCTCCACACTGGTTTCAGGCTAATGAACTCCTGTCTCACTTTTCCGATTCTGACTTTGACATCCTCGTCTGTCCGCCTGTAATTGAGGCAGTGCTGCTTAGATAGGTGAAGGGGGCTACTTCCTTCAAGTTTCTCCCATTGATGGTGATTGGAGCTCGTTGTCGTTGTTGTTGGTGGTGGTGTTGGTTGGCTATCTTAATCACCTCTGTCTTCTCTAGTTCACTTGAAGTCCCGTCTTCGCTGCCTCGCCTCACCTCGCCTCGCCTCTTCTGTCAACTTGTTAGTTTTCGCCTGTAGATCTTCCACTTTGTGTGACAAGACATTAGACATAGGTCATCGGCGAAATCTAAATCTTCTAGGATCTTTTCCCCGGTTC